TCAAATACATTGAATGACATATATGAAAAGACTCAACATCACTAAATTCAACATTTTGACAAATCAACATATTGTTGAGAAACATATAAGACATTGAGAGACCACACCAAAAAATTATATCTTATTTTGGTTTAACCTATTGTCAGCAGGTTTTATACTGCCCCTTTAGATTTTTGAGTTTTGTTATATACAGATGATTCCACATATGCTCAGCCACCAAGAAGTCTATCAGATGGCCCTAGTGACTATGTCTGATTTCCCCATTCCTTGAATTTGCAGGAAAATGTCTTTTTCTTTCTAATACTATTAATACTGACACTGTTATAATTCTCATTAATATTATGATTATTAAATTGTTATTAACATATTGATAACATCAAAGACGATAAAATAATAATTATAAAACTTTTAAAAAATCAAGGAAAAGGGTAAACAGGTAAGATAGGTAAGACTAATAGTTGACTCCTTGGTGACTAGGCACTTGTAGAGCCATCTATGTGTAAAGACAATAGATAAACTTTTATTAAAGTGGCCAGGGCATTGCAGTCTTGCCACCCGCACTAATTGGGTTAAGGATAAGGACAATTTCCTGCCTCTAGAAAGATGTTTTTATCTTAATTGTAGCGTTTTCTTTTTCATCCCAAGACTATCTTTGATTACATGATTTGCTGATGTTATACTCTTACCTCCTTTCTACCAGTGTGAAGAATCTATTTATATATTTAATAATACAGTAGCTACATTATCCCCTCTACTTCTAAAACAGTTATATATAAACTAACCTAAATATATTCCATGAACATGAATATCCTAAAAGCATTACAAATTGACCCAAAACAGAAGAGTAAAAACATGCTTACAGTGACATCAACCCTCAGCTGCCAAACACTCTCCTCTGCCAAGATGCACAATGACTCAAGGTCAAGGCAACGAGACTCCTTGATATTACGATCTAAGATTTGCTGCAGCTCTTCAACCAGATCGTTTCCTCTTCCTTGTTCAAAGTGTGGTGCTGCCATGGGTGACAAATGGACAGAAATCGAAATTTTGCCTTCACTTGGCCTTGACGGTCTGGGTTCAACTACTTCACATGTTACCTAAAAAGAGATATTGGTCAGGGAAACATATAGAGAATGTAACCTGTGCAAAAGAAAGAAAGGAAAAAAAGAAAGAAAGAAAGAACAAAGAAGAAGAAGAAGAAGAAGAAAAAAAAGGTATTGCAAGGGTTCATTAATCTTTCTGTAATATCATTTTAAAATATACTCAGCACTAGAAACATAAGAAAATAATACTAGGTAATGATACTAATGACAAAAGATGTGAACTCTACAATGCAGTAAGTCATACAGAAAAGGCTAAAGACACACCTGTGCTAAAACTCGTGTTAGTCCTAGTGTTACTGTGCAGGATCCAAAATCTTTGCCGAAACTGATATCTATATCACGCACTTCCAGAAATTCTCTGTTATCATGCCTTAGACCTTTCTGGATAGCTGTTATTACTGAATTACGCTCGCATGAGCTCAGAGGTGTCTCCTTCATTTTTACCTGAAAAAGAAAAGTTTCAGAATGACAAAAAATAAAAAATACAGTTTAAAACATATCGTTTGTATACACATACAAATAAGCTATATTCAGTATTCATTAAAAAATTGCCAAGATCTATGATGAGAAAAACAGTAATAATATTCCTTAAAGGCATTTGATGAATAAGTTGGCACAGGTTCTATACAACCACTGACATTTCTCTAGCAGGATGAAACACTCTAGCCTATATGTTTATAAACCTGGTGCTTGGAAAGGTGGTTTTGAAATAAAGATACCCATAATGAAAGTACTCAGGGTCTGAAGATTCTGGGCTAAGCAAAGTCTTTTCCATATATTTAATAGTTCTACAGCTCAAAGAATAATTTTTCCATCTGCTTACAAACTTCCCATACCTTCCATATTTCATTCTTAATCATGATATCCTTGATGATTAAGAGGAAGAAGTAAGTAAATAAGGAAAAAAAAATAGTTTTACTTGTGCTAGAGCATCATTTTGTTTTGTAAAGAATAAAAACTTAAATGACACAAAATACATTAACAGTAAATACATTAAATACATATTTGTCAAATACATACGAAAGTGAGAATGACACAAGAATATAACAGCAGGTCATATGAAAGAACATGGCAAATCACTGTCACTATTTCACTGTGTTAACAAGAAAATTGCTTGAATTAATGATTAATGGCTAAATAAACCACTGTCATAGTATATGCTTTACCTGCAAAATTTGTAAGTGCAAATGTACTTTTCTATCATTATCTAAGGTATAATGTATTGTATCACTTGGTCATATTTTTAAAATCTTGTAATCCACAATTTTCTCAGAAGTCTAATGTTTTATTTTTCTCTTGGCTATTGTGGTTACAGGTTCCTAGGATGGGAGAGGAGGTGAAAGCCATGGCGTGATATGCCAACACTTTTACTTGGATCTTACAAACAGAAGAGGTACAATCAGTTATGACAGAATGATGATGAGATATGAAACATGTGTTACCTGGGGAGATGGAGTAGGCTCAAGAAGCTAATATCAAAGGTATTGTAAATGCACACCTAAGATGTTTTTGTACCTGGCTGATTATACACATAATAAATGTAACTACACATCAGGTTTAATCGAGACCACTGCAGATATGATGAATCACACAAGCCGAAAAATATTTATGATAAATGGTATCCAACAAATGTTAGCAAAAGATGGACAGAAGACTGGATTTTCTTATCTAGAAAATACAGTATAAGGAGTAAATTTGCATATGCAATTGAAACCATCCTACAAGCTTATAATTTTTGTGCATTCCTAAGCTCTCAGAGGAAAATTCAGCACATGTTCTTCCCATACAGGATGTCATGTAGGAGAAAGAGTAAAGTAATCTTGAAATTTTAGATATTTCTTTTTCTAATTCTCAAAATTGAGAAGTGCTTGGTACTCACCATCAGTCTAAAATAAAGCTCACTTACAAACTCTGCATTTACATGAGAAGGTCAACTATTTCTAAAATAATGTTATGCCTTCATATGTTGGTCATATCTCCCTGGCAATTTTTAGTGGTAAAAGATGTCGGTCCAATCTCTCAATCTCTCTCTCTCTCTCTCTCTCGCTCAATCTCTCAATCTCTCACAAGAATACACACAGTCAAGATTAGTTAGTCTTTGCCACAGCGCAAATGGTAATGAAGAATGCCATTACTTCACACTGTGCCAAAATCATACTACCCTACTGACTGTGGGGTGTTTATCACAAATCAAAGCAAGTCATGGTATACAGGCAATAAAGCTTGAAAAAAAAAAATAAAAAATTGACAGCTATGCAGGTGTATCTCAACATTTGCACAACTGGGGCCTAGGAAGAGGCATAATTGTGACAGACCAGAGAATCAGAGAAAATGTGTCGAGAAAAAACATGAAAACTGGATTTTGATATACGATGACGTTACAGACAAGAGGAAGTGAAGTGTATCTAATCCTATGCATGAAAAAATAAGGCGAATGAAAGGAAAAAAAACAAGAAACTTTTCATACCATCACTAATCTTTATCCATCTAGTCTAAAACCTTAAAAAATAATGAGAAAAAAAACGAAGTGAATTCCCGGCAAATCCACCTTATCTCATCGTTCTTACATTCTCAATCTTCAAAAAAAAAAAAAAACTTTATCTAAATCATATACACTTACAATTTAATACCTCAATAAAATATCAAACCAAACAGAAGAATATATCCTAGTAAAACCTTCACTCAGGTCCCTTCGGCAGGAAACACGAGGATCCCGACGTTCAAAACAAAACAAAAATTTGTCGTTCGTGATTCGGTCCTTTAGGTAATTTAGGTAATTTAATTCTCGGTCGTTCTTTTAGGAAGTATTTATCAATTCCTTTTAACTTATTCTGTCTTCTTGTGTAGTATTTCTCGTATTTATCAATTCCTTTTGATTAATTTTGTCTTCTTGTGTAGTATTGAACAGTTAATTCACTATTGATAGATGTGGTGTAATTATTGGTTACTATAATCATTATTATTTATATTGTCATTATCAATGATATCATAATTATGAATACAATTATCACTCTTATTATCAGTCATTATTATTATTATTGTTATCATTATCATTATTTCCATTATCATTATTATTACTATTATCATCATTGTAATTATCATTACAATTGCTATTAAAAATATTATCATTATTATAGTTACTGTTGTAGTTACTATTATTGTTATTATTATTATCATAATTATTATCATAATTATTGTTACTTATATTTTTAGTATCATCGTTATTATTACTATTGTTATTACAATTGTTAACATCATTACTATGATTATTATTATTAATAATATTATTATCATTATCATTATTACCATCATTTTCACTATCATTATTGTTATTATTATTATCATTAGTAGTAGTATCATTTATTGCTGTTGTTATTGTTATTATCGTTGCTGTTGTTTTCATTATCATTATTATTACCATCATAGTCATTATCATTATTCTCATAATTACTGAAATCATAGCATTATAATTATGCTTGTGTTTTGCGTCTGTTCGTCTACACACACACACACACACACACACACACACACACACACACACACACACACACACACACACACACACACACACATACACACACGCATCATGTTTCACATCCATGAAAATCCTTTTTAGTATCATTGTCGTTACTGTTATCATAGTTGTTATCATTACTGCTGTTGTTATTATTATCGTTATCATTATATTTTTTTCTCCTTAGAGCTCGGTACACTACACTTAAGTAGTTAGACAGTAGTTAGTTAGTAGTAGTTAATACACATGTATTATTTTCATGACTATTCGGGGGTGGGGGTGGGGGTGGGGGTAAGAAGGAAGGTAGCAGAAGGAAAAAGGAAGGGAGAGAAGAAAGGAGAGAGGGAGAAAGGTGGATAAAGGAGGTAGAGAAGGTCTAAGGAGGAAGAAGAGGTAGGGTAGGTAGGGAAGGGTGGGGGTGGGAGGGGGTGAGCGAAGGTAGGAAAAATCTGGGAATGAGATAAGTGGTAAAGCAGGAAAGAGAAAGGTAGAAGGAATGGGAAAGGAGAAGGGAAAGGGAAGGCGAAATGAGGAAGGAGGACATGTGGGATTGAGTAGAACCTCATATCATTATTATTATTATTATTATCATTATTAATATCAATATCATTATTATCATCAGTATTAATATAATTTCTCCTATCATTATTTTTACCGTCATTATTATTATTATAATTATAATTATTATTACTATCAATAATAACATTATCATTCTTCTTCTTCTTATTATTATATAATAATAATAATAATAATAATAATGATAATGATAATAATAATAATAATGATAATAATGATAATAATGATAACAATAATAATAATAATAATAATAAATAATAATAATAATAACTTAACATTACGATTTTTAATATCACGAGGGAGACATAAATGGAAGACAGGAGGCAGAGGTTTGAAGGCAGATTCAGAAGACACAAAAACATACACGTCTTGGGTATTTTCCTGTTCTGCAAGCATAATTCTCCGTAAGAATTTTCCTTTGAATCTTGCCACAAGAATGTTTTTTTTTGTCTGTGTAAGAGTTTTGCAATACGAAATGAAAAAAAAATGAGAGATTGATGTGTAGTCTGAGAAATACTGCTATGATGCTACAGTATAATCATGCACCAGGAAACACACACAAACACACACACACACACACAGACACACACAAAAGAAATGAAAAAAAAAAGTTATTTGCAAAAATTCCAGAAGGAAAAAAAAGTACTTTCTCTCTATCACTGATTATTAGTGTCTCAGCCTCTGATGTATACTCTTAGTCATGACTTGTTTAGTTTCCCCTTCATTTCCTACTTCACTGTATTCGCATGTCACCGATATATGTATGAAAAAAAAAGATACAACATTGCATCTCTATTTTTGTTTATTTTTTTTTTTTTTTTTTTTTTTTTTTTTTTTTTTTTTTTTTACCTTTTCGGATGATCGCATTTACATTTTTACTCACGATATCTCAAAATCAAATCTTGTTGATCTGTGTGTATAAAAAAACACTAAAAAGTGGAGGTGTGGAATTTGCTTTTTTTTTTGTTTTGCATTAAGAATCACGGATAAATAATAATCAGTAAAGAATAAAAATAGAACCGTAAAAATAGATTAAGGAATAACAAATGCTTTAGCTAATCATGTTAAACCAAAAATAATGACATAGATTATCAGTAATGATAGCAAAGTTGATGAATAGTAATAATGATAATAATGAATAATAACATCAGTAATAATGA